AAGATTCTTCGAGGCTCATGAGTCTTTAATTGAAGAATTTAATTCATTCATTAGTCTAAAAGTAGAGTCATTCGCGATTTCGCGGTTTTCGCGTCATATTACAGCAACGGGGCCACCGGTAAGTTTAAACGTGGTCCCGCATCGTGGGACTACGATCATCTCGTCGTGGGCGCGCACCCTTCGCATCGTGGGACAGTAAAGGTAGGTTCCTGATTGCTACGTGGGACTGGAGTTGAAGATACATCGATGGACGTCGAGGGACTACGCGCAACGGTACGTTATTATAAATAATTTATTCTTCTCACATAAAAAGCACCTCACTGTTACAAAAGTTGCTTTTTTATATATATTATCTTTAAATTCTCTTTAAATTTCTCTTTAAATAGTCTGAAAAAAAATATCCTTTATATATGGACATATCCTACATCTAATGATGTTTAATTAGATACAATGATATATGAGATCATCTCAATCTTATATAAAATTATTATGTATACCTAGATATAGAATTTGAGCATATATAAAGGAAAAATAATAATTTAGAATTAAATAATCAATTATGTTTCATATCTCTACCATGAAAATTTTTGAGAAGAATAAATTATTCTGCATGAGTAGTAGTCGCACTGATTTTTCAATATATTGTCACTCCGTATAATCCTGTAATTCCAAAACGCAAATTTTAGAGAAGAGCAGTTTAAAAGTTTAAAGTTTCATATAGTTTCCCTAGTTAAGGGATCTTTTGGTTTCAAATTTTTACTTATAATATTTTTTTAAATATTTGGTGACCATAAAGAACATGACTTTCTTAACTTGTTACTATGCAATAAACTGAAAATCCGGTATGTAACACTTATGGAATTATACGTAGAAAGTGACAATATATTTTTTTTTGATAAAATGTCTATATATTTGTATATAATATTTTTTATATATGTGCTTTTTCTTATTTTTTTTTTTTTTTAATATATATTTATATTTTTTACATCTACTTTCATATTTCTATATCACTTTCTCTTAAAGAACCGATATAGAATTTTTTCTATATATATGTGCTTCTTGTATTTTTTTTTTATTTTTTCAATATATATTTATCTATCTTTTCTACTTTTATATTTCTATATCACTTTCTCTTAAAGAACCGATATAGAATTATTTTTTGAAACTTGTGTTCTTTTATATATCACTTTTCTATATCACTTTTCTATATCACTTTCTCTTAAAGAACCGATATAGAATTGTTTTTTGGAGGCTTATGCTCCTTATATTTATTCTCTTCTAGTTAATTTTTGCAAAAATATATATTTAAATATATATTTGAAATATATGTATTTAAATATATAATTTTTCCTTTCTTTTATATATTCTATCTCATCTATTTACATATGGCACGTTTTTATCGGGTGGGTATATACTCTCTTTAAATTAGAAAATATAAAAACTCGGTCGCGAAACTAAAATAACTTTAAAATAATACTTCTTAAAATTTTAAAACAACTGTCCCTCGCGTAAAATATTGATAGATTTTAAAAACTTTCTAAAAATATGTAGGCAGGGATCTACGATATTGATAGGTTTTAAATCTTTCGAAAACAATGTAGGTAGGGATCTACAAGCGCTTCTAGAAAATATGTTAGACCGGGTAGGTAGGAAATTTTTTAAATAGAGTAGGTAGGAAATGTATTAGACCGCGGATATAGTTAGAAATAAACATGGAAGATTAGGATCAAGGCATGTGCCATGCAGCCTTAATCCTGATTAACAAGGCTAGTAATGTTTAAAATAGATGTTTAGGGTAGGATATAGCAGGTTTAAAAATTAGGAAAAATGCAATTGCACTGATTAATATGAATCTCTGCATATGCATGTAAATGTAAGATTAAATTTCGTTTATGTAAGGTAAGGTTACATTTATTGTATGTAAAAACTATATATAAAAGACTTCAATAATAAGAATTCGAATTGTAAAACATTAGTAAATGAAATTTATATCGAGAATTTAATGTGCGATGAAGTATAGCATACAATAAGTGTAATTTTGCCAGAAATATTGCCATGTGTGGTTCGTATTTATTATATATGTACTTTATTATATCGATATATATGTAAAAAACTTGTAAAATTGTAAAACTCAAAAATTGTAACACACTCTGATAAATTGTAATAAACCAGTAAAAGATATATTTTTTGAAAATGCAACTTTTCAGACACACATATATTTGTGTGCCGTCAAACCAAGTTTAAATAATGTACTTATTTTATTTTTTTTTACTTTGTAATGTAACTATATGTATATATGTAGCGTGTGTAAAAAAATAATAGCAAATAGCAGCAAATGATGATAAAGGAGATGGTATCTGAGTACACTCCACGAATTCTGATGTTGCTCGCTAAAATAAGATTCTTTTCTTGACTATTACATCTTTTCTTGTATATCACATTTATGTTGTACGAAAAGTTGCAATGGTTTTTCTTATTCTTTTGTTTTCTTTTCTCATCTTCTCATCACGAGATCGGTCATTTTAAATTTCAAAAAAATCAAATTCACGCTCTCGAATATACTCGCACACTTAAAGAAAGTGGCCATTTAAACTCGTGCACATAGCACAGAATAGAACCGCACGTTGTGGACATAGCGCACCGACATGTCGCTCGTGGACTGGCTACGTAGTTCCAATGTGTACCACCCGTGGACATGCGCTAGTTTACGGAGCGGAAAAGTGATTACACATTCTCTTATGGACCTGGCCGCTCTCAGGCTTTTCTCTGTTGGAACCCATTGAACTTTGACCATCAGAAATAGGGACAGAAAGATTGGCTGTTCTGGCAATCTAGTAATTTCAATTTATAGGAAGTTTTCAATAATAAATTGCTGACTGGTATTTTACCCGCGATAAGTCTTGCAATTTCAAATTGTTTCGAGGACACCAAAAATGAACTTCAGAAGCACGCGAAAGGAGAGTCGTTATTCGATTAATTGCAACAAAACTCTGAATTAATAAAAAATCAAACAGATGAAACAAATGAGAAAATAAAAACTGATGGACTAAAAATGCAATTCTCCACGTTTTGCAAGTAACTGCGCGATCGCAACTTCAATTTTCCTATTTCCGCACTAGGGAAAACGTTTATGTGATCACTGCTTGTGGTTGAGTCACGCTTGTGTGCAAAACAAAAAATTGTATTGAAAAATTTTGCACATACAAAGAATTTTTGCGTCAACTTGAAATTTGTTGCGAAAACGTTCGTGTGAACATCGAGTAAATTGCCAGCGATGCGATGTACGAAGCCTCCATTAGTGGTTATCATTTGGCCGAGGTATCACACGGCAAGCCCTATTATGTTTACCGCATCGAGATTCTGGAATCAAAAACTGGCACTCGATATTACATCGAGAGAAGATACAGCGAGTTTAGTGCGTTACATCGTGCGGTACGGTATTAAATATTTTCAATTTATATGATCTATTGATATACATTTTATATGTGTACATAATTCACATACTTATATGTATGTACACACTTTATACATATGTATCAACATAACGGAAAAAAATTTCTGGCAACTTTTTAAATTACTATACTATTACCTTTTATAGTACTCTAATATCACGTATCTTTATGCGCCACACATGCATGAGATCTAGTTACAAGATAATGCGTTAATCTTTACAAGTTGGTGATGACAGATGGTTGTTTTGTATTAGACAGTTCCCTTTTAAAATACACAATTGTGTTTACCATATGTGTAACAATTATTGTCTAGAACAGCAATCTTGATTTTTTAGTTGAAAAAGGATAATGCAGATATTGCATCATTTCCCCCTAAGAGAGTAAGAAACTCACAGCCGAAAGTATTAGAGCAAAGACGAGCTGCATTGGAATTGTATATCCAAAAGATGTTACGTTTATTGGCCACGAAACAACAAGTTCTTAATTTTCTAGGTATAGAAAATCAGGACACTAACTCATCCCACAAGAGGTATTTCTTGAAACTGTTGAGAAAATTTAGACTAAACATGAAAACAGAATTTTGTATTTGTGTTATCTTGTTTTCTTTTTGTTTGTTATTTTTTAAGAATGCACAAGACTTCAAACAGCTTAATGGATAATCATCGAATCACTCTCGGGCATCATCCAGTTTTAACTTTTCACTGTGATCCGTACGTTCAAGCAGACTCGTCCAGCAGTCTTCCAGATGTTGTAACCACCGGTGTGTTGTTAGGTATATACAAATCATGAGATTCCATATGTGCTACAATCAATGTATGATCAAAACTCAAGAGCCAAACCTGGGTGTCAAGCAAATGTTTCAAATGTTATTGCAAACCCAAGGTTTTCCTACAGTATTATTGCAAAAACTACAATGTTTTATCAAGTGAACAAATTTGATGATATATTTATACATTTATAATAATTTGTAATTTAATCATAAGCGCATTCTTAACTACGATGAACGTCCAGCAACCAAGCTGAATAATAATTGTATATAATATTGTTTTTGTGAAAACATGTACAAGTTTTATTCTTTATATAAATAACTATATTTTCCTTGTAAATGTGCAAAAAAAGGAGAAAATTAATTTTTCGAACAAGATCGGTGTTTGATCCCTAGTTGTAATCCGATAAGATTTATGGAAAATGGACTGGTCAAAGATGTTAAAGGATCGATCAGTAGATTGATCTGTAGATTGCACTGGTTGAAATGCTTCGAACAGAGAGAAACCTGAGAGCGGCCAGGTCCGTGTAACAAAATCCCTAATCACTTGGACAAGTCGCGTTCTTGTTGAAGACGCACCTTAAAACTCGATCGATTCTCATTGGCGTTTTACCGTCCGACACCTGACGACCGTAAGCGAAACTCACGGATGGCATCGAGCGCCGATACGACAACGCGAGGTAATATCCCACGGATTTCCGCTTCTGTTTCGCGTCTCACCTGACGCACAATGAAAGCACGCAAGGCTGGATGAGTGGGGGTGAGCTCGCGGGGGAAAAAGAGAGGCGCGACTGTGAGAAAGAACAAAAGGGAAGGTGGGAGAGAAATCGGCGAGAGAGCTCGTTTCTGCCGTCATGGCTGAATCATTGTGAGTGCTATTCCGCGTAGAGAAACTGATAACAGATGACGCGCCGCGTGTGATTCACACCACCTTTAAGCTTTTGGACGAAAGAATCATCGCGGTCGCTCCTCTTCCCTCGCCGCACGTTGGCGTACGGTTTTGAACACCTGACCCCTGTTCGATTTCGGGTCCCCGGGTGGCGGCGATCCGAGCATCGCCGTTTCAGCCTCGATGCCGAGGCTCCACGACGACGATACGTGATAAGAGAGACAATTTTTTTTTTCTCCTCTTCTGTGTGTGCGGTGTCGTGTTGTGCGTGCGGTGTGGCGGCTGTGCGTAGTGTGTGTACACATTCCCACGGTCGCTGATTTGCACGATGAACGGGTTAAGTTTGAGTGAACTGTGTTGCCTGTTCTGCTGTCCGCCCTGCCCGTCCAGAATCGCAGACAAACTGGCGTTCCTACCGCCCGAGCCTACGTACTCGTTCGTCGAGGACGAGGGCTCCAAGTATACAATCTCCCTGTCGGAGCGCGCCGAGTGGCAGTACACCGAGCGCGAGAAGGAGGCGGTCGAGGGATTCTACGCCAGGACGTCGCGCGGCAATAGGATCGCGTGTTTGTTCGTAAGATGTTCGGCGACCGCGCGATTTACGATTCTATTCTCGCACGGGAACGCCGTCGACATCGGCCAGATGTCAAGCTTCTACTTCGGTCTAGGATCGCGCATCAACTGCAACATATTCAGCTACGATTACTCCGGTTACGGGGTGTCGGGCGGCAAAGCGTCCGAGAAGAATCTCTACGCGGACATCGACGCCGCGTGGCACGCGTTGCGTACGCGTTACGGAATAAGTCCGGAAAACATAATTCTGTACGGGCAGAGTATCGGCACGGTGCCGACGGTAGACTTGGCCGCGAGATACGAGGTCGGCGCGGTGGTGCTGCATTCGCCGCTCATGTCCGGGATGCGGGTCGCTTTCCCAAAGACCAAGAGAACCTGGTTCTTCGACGCGTTCACCAGGTAAAACGGAGAAAATAATAACTACTTGCGAGTATAACCTTTGAATTGTGAGCTTTGGATCACCGCAATCGGTCCCCCGACTATTGTTCTATAACGGGATTGTTCTCTTTATCGAGCGAGATAAGGAACGTGTGTGTCAGGAAGCTTCCACGGACGTGTCTTTATAGATTTTTACATATGCGGACGTGCACGTGGCGCGTAAGCGTAGTTCTTTGTTTATCGGAAATAAAGTTCGGACTTCCATATTTGTTTATTGTAAAAATATAGATAAGTAAATAATACAACGGGTTTAAAGAATTGAATATAATGCAAAAGTTATAAAGAACAATTACCACGAGATACGCAAGGCCTAAAACAATCCACATGCCATTTTTAAAGAATGTTTTACGATGCGATGTAAAGATTGTAATTGAAGGAAAAGATATAAAGGAAAACATAAAAGACAACAATAAAATCGATCGTTTTGACGCTTATTGTTCTACAGGAAATAAATAATGAACATTTGGTGATATGAGTTTCTTTTCAGAAAAATGTGAATAAATAACAAAAATTATTTTTTAGTCAAAACGCTGATTTGAAATAAACGAGAATTTTCGGAAATTATTGGTCGATCAAGTAAATTCCATTGTTAAAAAAAAAGTGCAAAATTGCAAGTTTCCAATAAAAACTTGTCGGTCATCTAATTCAAATGATATATTTCGTGCATCGATAACTAATTCGAACTAAAGTCGCTAACGTGACGTTGAGAAGCTATAAAAGTTTGCAACCGAGCAAATACTGTAAATGTGGTCGTACGTATCAATGAAACCTGTTTGTTGCGCGATGTTTGCGTCGTAGTGTGTTTTGACGATTGATTTTCTATCAGTTTTGCAATGTTTATTCGGCTCAATCAAAGTTGAATGTTATTGTTTACATACATTTTACAAGGCAAATATATAATTCCGTCTATTCTCTAATTTTTTAAATTAAAATATAGAGCTTTTCAATTTTGTTATTTGTATTTCGTTCATTTTATTTTTCAGATTTCACTTGCGCTTGTTGCGACACTTTTTTTTTTTTTTATTGATTTTACATCTCGCTAAATATACTTTCTAATATCATTCGTAATGGAGTAAATAAGACTGTCACCGGTGTGTATGCGCTGCCCTTGTAACGCACGTGTTACCTATATACGGATGACATGACAATCAATGTGTCAAAGCTAAAAATAATATCTCAGACAAAACTTTTGTTTTGTATTTGCTCCGGTTTTCCAACCGTGCTCCGGTGCTTATCTTCTCGGATAAAGAGTGCAAGAGTTTAATAACACCGACGTTTAATTTTAATCTACAATTCTATATATAAATTAATGCTGAACAAGAGCAACAACGTCTGAACCTGTTGTGATTTTGTTTTGCAGCATAGATAAAGTGCCGAAAGTGACGTCTCCCGTTCTGGTTATTCACGGCACGGAAGACGAAGTAATAAACTTTAGTCATGGCCTGGCGATCTACGAGAGATGTCCACGTGCCGTGGAACCGCTGTGGGTCGAGGTATCGGAAATCGATAATATATTCTTTTGCAATAATTGTTTCGCATTCTCTTTGACTTCTTCTTTATTTACATTGATAATTACGTTGTAATGTATTCCAATAACATACTTTCATACACGCAAGTCGTGTGGAACGAAATCTATATAATACGTAATTTTTCAGGGTGCCGGCCATAACGACGTAGAGCTGTTCAACCAGTACCTCGAACGATTAAAGCAATTTGTAAGTGTGGAATTGGTGAACTGACGGCGACTAAGCCTCTCCCAGAGTCAGGGGGGACAGGGAGGGGGCCATTTGTATGCGAGCTCGGAACGTACCACTTCCAACAACTCTAACAACTCCAACACCGTCAGCTCCATCTCGACGAGCACTCCAACGGAGAAGCTTGTCTAGCAGTCGCCTCCCACAGGGGAGAAGACGCCTGTCCTTCCCTGTGACGAAGAATCATCCTTCGCTTCTGTGGATGATGTGTTCTTCTTTTGCGAGCAACAGCAGGCTATTAATCAGGAAACTCATCACTCGGACTCCTTCAAAAAGACGCGTTCTAAAGACGAAGCCGGAGGCAACTCGAAGAAATCCAGTATGAAATCGGAGAGCAAGTGCTCAAAGCAGAAGGATTCCGCCTCGGCTTATACTAAGGACAAAAGCCAGGGCAAAGTTGCCACCGGCGAAAAGGTGATCGACGGCACTTTGTCAAAGTGCAGCAAGTTCACCAAGAAACATACTTACTTACCGAAAAACCTGAAAAACCCTTTTGCTCAAAGTCAAAAAAATGTAGTTCACAGAAGCTTGAAGAACTCGTTCGGTCAGAATCACGAGAAGATGGACAGCCAAAGAAATCACGCCACGTTGATCGATATACTAGTAGAAGACTGCCGACAATGCGCGATCGTAGAAAAGTCGGTCGCATCGTTTTCCAATGCTTCCGGTGACGTTAAAAAGGACATTACTGATTGTAGAGGTTCTCTCACTCAGCCCGTAGCGGAGAGTAAATCTCCGGGATCACGATTCAAGTACAACTGCATAGAGTCAGCGTTGGAGTCGAATAGCGCCGGTAAGGACGGCGGGCAACGTTACTACAATAAACTCTCGATTGTCGACAATATCACAAAATTCACCAAGTCCGACGCGGCAAAGACCGCGGAACCCACGAAGAAATTTCCCTGGAGTTGCGCGTGCACGAAACTGAAGAGGAAAGGCCTCGAAAAGTGCAAAGAGCAAGAAAGGAGCGATTCCACTGAGAGCTTCGACTCTTACAACGACGCCAAACAGCTGAAGAAGAAGAAATCTTGCAGCCCGTTGATGAAGAAACTCGGCCGATCGTCCACCCTAACGGTGGGCACGGATAAGATTACGTTGAACCTGCCAAAGTACTCTCCGTGCGCGAGCAGATTGGCCGCTAGCTCGAAGATTCTGCCGTCCGATCTGGCAACCGACCCGGAGAGTCCGCTTCATGTTCCCCGCTCAAGAAGTCCGTCTCACATCGATATACAGGCCGAGAACGACCCTGCCAAATCTGCGGACAGAACGTCGATGCAGGCCAGTTTATCACTCAACATACAACAATTCCAGAAGACGCGTTATACCCCGCGCAGTCGCAGCGTGGGCGACAGCTGCGTGACGTCGCCGACCAGCGACGCGACCACGAGCTACTCGCCCACCGGCACGGAAGTCCTGTCACTCGAGGAGGTCGGGCCGCACACGTCGGGTACATCGTCGGCCGAAGGTTCGGGCAGTAGTTACCTGGAGGTCAAAGAGAAATTGGACGCCGAGTGCGTCGACAGACGGGCGACTCTCGAGACAAAGTGTTAATGAAACGCGCATAAGCCATTCTCTCTTCCAAGCTATAATATGTATTTTACACAAGGGAGGATCACACAGTTCCGTACGCATACCGTTAAAAAAAAAACCGCTTGGGCTGTAATCGTGTTAGTGAGAAACTCTGTACACAGATACACACATACACACATACATAAAGGCAGGAGATACACACAGACACACAGTTTATAAGATTTATTATATTTCTAGAAATGCGCGCGAGAGAGAAAAAAGTATATATATATATAATATATATATATATATATATATGTACTTGTGCATATAAAAAAAAAAAATAGTCTTATCTGTGTATGCACGCTATTGGACGCGTGCGGTTTACGTACACATAAATTAATTAAGAGCGGAAGTATAGATGAACTAGGTTTTGACACGTTTTTTGCAAAAATAGGCTGCGGAACGTTGTTGCGACAAGTGCGTCGAGTATTATCATTATTTTTTATCCTTCTTAAAGTTACTAGAATATCTGATGGTTCGCGTGTGGTTGAACACACTCCTTTGCTTCGAGAATGAGTGTTGGTGCCATTCAACAAAAAAGTCTTACCGAATATCTCCGCATTTTCTTAATTTAAAGTAATCATTAGGTGAAAAAATTTAGAGTATTATATAATTGGAGTATTATATACATTTTTTTTTTTATTTTTAGCTGAAGCACTCGAAGACTAAAAGTTCGTCAGTTCATTATCGTTGTCAATTGCATTTTTATATATTTTTTTTTATTTCCTTATATATGTGTTTAGATGTAATTGCGAGAGATGATGGAATCTTTGTTTCCGTTCAGGCGCATGCGATGCATTTTATTAAGTTGATAGGCGAGAGAGATCTCTGGTGCGACGAGGAAAATGCGGATCTTTTCAGGAGGTTGTACGTTTCGCTCGGTGATGATAAACGACGGTTGTAACGGTAACGAAGATACTCGTTCTTATATCCACGACGAGAAGGATCCGCGTGAGAAGGATTGCACATCTTCCAAGCTGATAAAAAAATCGAAGCACGCGTTGGCACAGTTGGAAACGAACAGGAGAAAGGAAAAATCTTACACGTGCATGTGTATTGCGTCTCGCAAATATGTTTTCTTTTTTTTTATCTTTTTTTTTTTTAACCAGAAAAGCTAAACAACCAAACAACAACGTGTGAGCAACAATAAGAATGCAAATCGCTGAGGACAATATTACTGCCAAAACAACTTGACTATGAATTAATTAATTTCTAAGGAAGTGATGCGTGTGTGCGAAGGACCTCGTCTATATAGGTACGTTTCTCGTTAGTATTTTTATATCTCAATAATTGTAAATACAAGTACAGTTAAAAAAAAAAAAAAAAAAAAAAGATCCTTTCTTTCTCAATGTACGGAGGCGGTTGTGCGGAATGCCATTGCGCGAGATAATGTGTACATCGCAATCCAAGATGCGCCTCATTGCGTGAAGCATCTTTTTTGCTATTTCTATATGGCAGCATTGTTGATACTTTTTATCGGCCGAAATTGTTTGTCTCGGGTATTGCGTCGGTGTGTTTTACGGAGTGGAAATTTTAAGACGAGTTAAAATGTCAATTTAACGTACCGGGAGATTAGGGAGAAGTGATACATCGATAAGTGTATAAATCCGGTTTCTATACCGATTCAGGCTATTTTGTGCCACACACACGCCCTTGCAACTTGTTGAGAAGGATGTTTACTAAGACGTAGAAACGACAAACATACGTGACATACGTACGAAGGAGAGAAGAAAATAATGTAAATTAGTTACGTAAAATGAGGAGCGAGATGTTCGCTGTGCTTTGCACGTTTTTTACGAGAGACTTTGTTTCTTAATCTACGGCGACGGAGATGTTTGCAGAGATCTGATGATGGAGACACTCGAGTTAGAGCTAGAGATCTAAGTTTTTTTCTTTTTTAAGTATATTCCATCGAGTTGTCGCGAAGTCTAGCGAACACACACGCGCACACACACACACACACACACACACACACAAAGTAGTTATACAAATCCACCAAAAGATGAGTGTCTCCACATTTTGTTTTCTTTTTTGTAAATGACAAATCCTAGATTTACACCGTGTATTTATCGTTAAACGTAGCTGTCTGATTCTCCGCAAAAATTCGACTCAATTAAATAGAATGAAAAATATCAAGGGACGGAGAGACTTGAAAATTAAATGGCCACGTTTAATGTTAAATGAAATGATAGTATGTGTCAGTGCTCTCACAACATAAAATCGATCATTTTTTGTTTGTGTATTCGAGTCTCTCGTTTTGCACGAAACGTACATATATCAGTAGAGGCGGCTGTGAAAGAATTAGTAAATGTATTTATAAGATGTTCCAGATTGGACAAAGTAAAACGTTATTTCTTGTAAAATTTATAAATTAATACTAGCTAACTTGCTAGTATTAAAATTGCATTAAAATATATTATTAGTTTTTTTTTCTGAAAGAGATAAATAAATCTCTCGTTGAATATAAAGAGTTTTTTCCAAATTGAAAAAATAAAAACAACACTAATGAATATAAAGTAATTAAATAAATCTCTTTGTTAAGTGTTCAATTCAAAAAAATCTTAATACAAGATTGTTAGAAGACTTATTGAATTTAATCACAAAGGTTTTTTTAAGAATCAACACACAGATGCTGGTGCGAAATAAATTGAGTGTAATTTTACTTAGCTAATTTATTTTTACAAGAAATAACGGCATTTTCTTTTATTCTAGGACATCCTATAGTTTGGGACGACGAACTTCCAATGCAGCAATTTTAATCGTGTGTGTTCTGGTAAAACTCTTTACCGAGATACATTAGTGCAATGTACAGATTATTGATAGACAACCAAGGAGATGTTATAGAAATGAAGGGTCGAGATGGAAAAGCGACAGAAAGTTGTTCGAAGCGGCAGAGAACTTAGTGCCGATCCGGCGTGCTAGTTCCTGTGTTTTTATCATTGCTATATTTGTTATTATCAAAATTCACCTCATCATCTCATGACACAAATTGTACGTTTTTTTCTTCTTTCGCTCTCGATTCGGGTCTAACTGTCGCTGTCGATCTTTGTCTCCATTTTAGTGATTACTTTATAAGTCGAAGAAGAGAAGAGGAAAAAAAAAGAAAAAAAAAACGTTCGCGCGATGAAAACCGAACTACGTTGTTGTGTTCGTCATGAAGATTTTTTTGCACAACGCGGCATTTGGAGATGTATATCACAGTTCTCTCTCTCTTTCTTCTATTTTCTCTCTCCTTCTCTCTCTTTCTCAATCCTCAGAGTGAGCTATTCATTTCTACCTCTTTTAATCTCTCACTTTGTCTCTTTTTCCTCTATGTATTTCTCTCTCCTTACTTTTGCTCGTGTTTTCCCCTCTCCTTCTCGCGCTTGCGAGTGATCGACCGGTTTTGAGCAGCACTTTCGTCTTTCATGGTCGCGCGTCGTGCGTACGAAGAAAACTGGTGCTCTCGATGCTGTGCGAGCGAGCGCCAAACGGATTCACGCGATATATGCGTTGATATTCGTAAATTGTATATAATAGCGTATAAGCAAAGTATTAAGAAAAGAAAAAAACAAGCGTTAACGTACTCTCCTCGTTCTCCCACATAATTTCCTTCGGTATCTGATGTACTTACAAAAAAGGGGGGAGAGGAGATATGCTGAGAGAAAACGCTTGTGTGTATATGTGCATATATATATATATATGTATATATGTGTATATATGTATATATATATGTATATATGTACGGCGACAATTACAGCTGTGATGTAATTACCGGAGGTGGAGGCGTAAGAGCAGAGAGACTTTTTGCTTTGGATGTAAAGTTGAAAACGCTCGTGCACACACATCCTGAAAGAGGAAGAAAGAGCGAGGGAATATATGCAAAGCCTGTGCATTGTCGAACAAATTATCGCGTAAGAACACATTCATCATTTGTCTAGAACATAAGAACTATAATTTTAGGGAGAGAAATAAGTGACGTTTGTTTCTTCGTAAAGACACGTAGCAGGCGTAAAGAAAATCCACCGCTAGGTACATCCGAATAAAAAGAACGAGAGATTTGTCATTTTAGAGTTTTATATTTCCATCGGCACTTGACTACCTTTTGGGCGTATTATCATCGCGCAAGTACTTTACTAATCCTGTGAGAAACAAGAAAAACCGTTAACACAATGTATAATTATGATGTAAATTACATGTTTAAGCACATATTATCAACACAGCGTGTTTTATTTAAACCAGAAGAGTTCAGGAGAGAGAGAGGAACAGATTTCCGGTACAAATTTGTAAATAAATTTTTTCCTCAATTTACCACAGCGTATAACCTCGGGTTTTTTATTACAAAGTTTTCCATATAATAAATATCTTTTATTTTGTTTAATTATTACACGTACACACATTTCTGTGTCTACGTCTGTGACTAATAATTTCAATTTGCAGTGATGATGATTATGTCGAAGCGAAAAAACCTTATGTGAAAATTCCATTTTTTATGTAATAATTCTTGTCGTCGATTGTATTCGATTTTTTCAATTATTTTCAGACTTGGAATTTATAAGAAGTAGCAAATAATAAATTCGTCTATGAATTGAAGCAAAAAAAAAGGCAAGTATCCTTATTATACTTCAATATTTTTTTTCTGTATCAATCAGTAGGAATATAATAATGGAATTTTTCTCAAAATGTATTGTAAAAAAATTCATTATTAAAAAACTATCTTGTTGCATCCGCGAATGTCGTTAAATATGATACATAACATTGATACTTTTGATAATAAAAAAATCAAAATATTCAACATACACATTTGAACTATTTATTTTTTATTTCCAAACTATCTTGATTTATATTTTTCAAAAACAGATACGTTACATGAAAAAACTTTTCTATAATAACAACACACAAAAATCTTTCTGCAATGTGGTTTGGAAATAATTCAAAGTGTGAGATCAAAGATTCTCTGACGTAGAGAATATGTCGATGATAGTTTGTCAGGAATATATTCTTTTATTTCAAAAATAAGAAAAGCGCTTTGCGGATTTAAATCGTCTATGTACGGTACTCTTTAGCATTATTCTTTATCATGTCGCAGACCGTGCACGGATTTTGTCGCTGATACGCGTTACTCACGTCGAAGGTCATTGCGTCTCCGCGACGACGACAACGACGAAGAAGAAGAAGGAAACGCTGCGCGCCATGAATATAGGCTGGTACGCCATACTGCGGCACCTTCGCTGTGCAGCTCACCTGCGCTGAAACCTGATGCCGACGATAAAAATGAAAACAGGTTACGCGGCAGCTCGCGCTCCAACGGCCACGCTACACCTCGAAGGAGCGGACCCCGAGTCGCTTCGAGGAAGAGGCCAGATTTTTTGCTATCATATGCGAGGAGAGTCCCAAACCGGCCATATTTCCTTTCGATTCTTAGAACACACTTTCTAGCCGATTATGTTCTTCTTTCGCGAAAATTCAACGCGCTAGTTTTTTAAACTACAGCGAAGTCGACCGGAAGTGAACAGTTTTTTAGTGTGCGCGACGGAACTTTCTAGAACGCGTTTAAGTGAATCTTATTTTAGGTTCTTAGAAATTTTCTCAGTAAAAAGAATTTATTACAAAAAAGCAATTAAGAATTGCGTTCAATGACAGATACTTTTCTAAGTGCTAATCGTTTTTCCTTAGCGCGATAAGTCGAAGCTCGCACCAGTAATTACCGTGTGTGAGCATTCGATTACGTGATTTTGCCGATGCCATTAACTCACGAGTTAACGCGGGGGAGGGGGGGGAGTAACCTGGATGATCGTTTGGAAAATTGAGATTTATCGCGGCGCGATGATCGAAGCAGGATCGCGGAAGATCTAAGATGATGCGAATTTAGATGATCGTGATCGATTTCTGCGGGCATTACTCTACGTATGTATGTGTATTTTCACGGTGTACACATTTTACTGGATCTATTTTTATCCGGAGGTCGATCTCGTCATTCGATATCTCTCCTTTAACCGCGCGCGACAACATAAGACGTATTGTAATTTACACGCGGGATTGCGAGAGAAGTGACGTTTCTTCTGGATTTGGTCGAGTTTTCGTTCTGCCACGCCCGTGTATCGCGCAGCGTCGCGCAGTCTGCAACGAGATACGCAAGTCTCTCGCGCTTGCTCTTTGCCGCCACATTGCTCATTGTCCGGTCTCGATCTCGCTCTCTTTCTCTCTCTCCTTCTTCTGTGGCACGTACGCACGTACGTACATTTACTTATATAAAACGTCTGTGTGTGTGTCTGTGTGTGTGAGCGCTTGCGAAGCGAAGCCGCACACACGCAAAGGCGCCTATTAAAGCCTGAAATAACTCGCGGCGAAAGAGAGCGTATGCGCGCGTAACCGGCGTTACGTTCGCGTTTAACGTTGTACGTGCACGCGTTACACGCGTGATCGGCCGATCTGTCCCACGTTTTACCGCGGAAGCGGAATTTTTAAACGATCGTATCCCCGATGCGAAAATCCGGAAAACAATTGGAGGGCGCTTGCGCGCGATCGCGCCTCATTAAGGAAGCTTCCTGCTGTGTTTTCCTCCGCGCGGGGTTTTGATTCTATCGAACAACGCGCGATTAACTCCCGATCTGACAGTGTTTCCGGATTTTCCCGTTTTCTGCTCCCCGGGTGTACAATGGAACGATATAAACGCGCTCAGTTAACCGCGATGAAAAGCGTTAACCCAACACCGGCACGGAACGAACCGGGGGGGATGCAATTAAAGCGATCGGCGCGAGACCTCTTTTGTGCGCTCTGCACGGTACTAGACGAAAATGGAGCGATCGGCGCGCCGACTGTTGGGGCGCGATTCCAAGGCAGTCACGGTGCTTCTCCGATACGCAAATGACGCGCATCGGAAGAGAGCCCGCACGTCTACGTCTCGAATTACAAATTAACAAGACGCTCTCTATCTCGCGTACGCGCTCCCTGAACGAACATCATCAACCCCTCCCCCCGCGTTTGTGCATAAAGCGCGTGTCATACCGTCCTAACGCGATCGTTGTCGTGTTTTTAATACGTGATATAATATCGAGAGAGATAGAGAGGGGGTAGGAAAGGAGGGCGCGGGATCACGATAGAGGATATATAACGGGGGCGCGGCAATATTAAATGTTTGATTTATCTCGGTCGAATTGTTTGAATTACATGATAACATATGGCTACGCCCAATTACTCCTCTCTTGCGATGCTATAAATGGTCGGTTGATTTTAATTAATTACATTATTGTGCCGTTCTTCGATTAATTCTATTGCGCATCGTCCCTTTTAATGTCCCGCGGTATTATACATATACATTTATACATATATACCTATATATATATGTACATGAGTATCGAAAATTTTCAATGAAAATCACTCATGCATAGAAGAGCATATTATTATCGGTTAATGATATGGAGTTTTCGTTGACACTAGCATAGCTAATATAATAATAATAATAATAACAATAATATAATGATTTATACATTTTATAATGGATATATGAAGTTCGTATATTTTCGCAGTCAAAAACATCATTATTTCGACGATTTCGTATATTTTAAAAAATATCGCGTAACGATACTTCATAATGATGCACAAAACCTATATTGGGTTATGATGCGAAAAATTATATGCCATTTATTATTATTTATATGCGCACGCACATACTGAAATAAATTATTGCCAGTTTGATTTGTGCAATAAAATGGCTAGTAAATTCTTAATCATTTGTTATCGAGTTCACTTTTTTGGCAGACGAAGAGAACACGTATCAGAATTAAATTATTAAGGCCATTTTTTTACGCGAAACTATATAAGAGGCGCTTTTGCGGGTCATTTTTTTACCGAACTATTTCATAAAATGCGGTGATATGTGAAAAAAGCTAAAATAATGTCGGCATATAATACAAAAAGAAATATTCGTGCAATTTTTTGCTCTTCTGACGTTATAATTCAATTATTTCGGCTTCTTCGTTTTAGTTTTATTTTTCACATATAAAAAATAAAAAAGAAAGAGTTTTTTCCTATATATTACTAGTTGTACTATTTGCGTATTGCAATGTTAAAGAAGACTGTGTGTTTATAAAAGAAAAATAACTCGTAGAGAGTTTTCTTATTATCAATACAAGTTTGTAATTATTAATTAATTACCTATAAAGTATCTATATAATGTTTCTGTTAATTTAATAACGCGTATGCCAGGATTTTATAGATTCCATTTACAATGTTTGCAATAGGTATTGTCTACAGTGTGTTTATAAGTACAGAACAACTTAAACATCTGTTTTTTTACACTCACATTGCATTAGTGTGTATATACACACTATTCTGTTTAAACACTCTTCTTGTTGCATTCTTTTCTAGTTTGTAATATGATTATAGTTTCTAATCCAAGGAAGTGTAACCTTCAAGGCAATTTCTATGAATCAGCCGATTCTATGGTGGGGCATAAATACACAAATATCTAGAGACGAAACGAGTGACTCAAAAAGTAATACCAAAAAATTTCATTGTACTAAAATATGTATGCTGTATTGAAACAAGTTTAAAAAGTTTAATGATCCTTCGACGCAAGAACATACATCATTGAGACAACAAATAAATTAATAAATTTTCTAATATATATTTTAACGATTTACTTTTGAATGTCAACAGGATCCAATATTCGCTTCGTTTCGAATCGACTTCCGTTTCCTCCACTTCGCATTCTCCGGTGGAAGACGCGAATCCGCAGGATTCTCGCCGAAAGGTCTTCGATCGGAAATGCACGGCCCTGTGTCGAGTACGTACTGAGAAATAACCCCGCGTGAGTACCGAGAAATAACCGTCGAAGGCCGAAGAAGGGGCTAGAAAGAATAGTTGGAGTAAACCCGAAGAACGGAGCAACGAGCGCGGCGCGACGTGGCGTCGGTAGTGACGGAAGGGGAAAACAACACTCGGGTGCGCGGTGGCGCGGGCGTACTACGAAACGGAGAGAGGAGAGAGGGAGAGAAGCGAAGTGCGCCGACAGTCTCGACAGTAGCGGCAACGGGCGGTTGGCGGCAGTTGCGACTCGAGCGGCAAGTGGTGCGTGTGTCGTTCCGTTCCGTCCGTGATATTACGTGTTTTTCGCGCCACGCTCGGAGACGTGACGCGGAGTCGACTTCTTTTTTTTCGTTTTCCCTTTTTATTTCGCGCGGCGGATCGTCCGATCTAAAAACACGGAAAGAAGCCGGTGGTGTTGAACGTTGAATACATACGGTCGACGACGCGCTCGCGGCGGCGGAGTTGTGTTTTTTTAAGTGTCAACTACACGCCACTTTGTTGTGCCAATCGTCAGTTTTCCTCCTTCCTCTCCCTCGTCTTTTTCATTTCTTCCCGTCGCACGAGGACCGGACGTATTTACGGAGCATTTACGGGAGGGGGGGATCTCTCCTTCATCGGCGGCGTCTCTCGTGGCGAGGAGAAGCAAGTTTCTTCTTCGGGGACTTTCGTGAAGAGCCTGTCTGCGAGACGAAGAGGATAAACTCGGAGTAACTCTAGTGCGCTTCTGTGTGACCGGTCGACTCTTCTTCTTGGGTAAGTCGCCATTGTCTGTTAGCGCGCGTCGTCGATCTTCTTGCGATATATCGCAGCAACTTCACTCCGAATTTGGACGCCCAAAAGCGACACGCACTCTATGTGTTTACGAAACTCGACGACGCTCGCCCTTATGTATATTTTTATGCGTTACGTGCACTTTCTACACTTCATCTATTCATCTCTTTCCGTTTCTAATATATATGTATATAACAACTCTGATTGTACGTTTGATCTCGCAAGTAATCTGCGTGTAAAAGTTCTCAAATTCCGCGGAGCAAATTTGTTTTTTTTTTTTTGTCTTGAGTTTTTCGACAGACGCGAAACATCAGAAGTGTGGAAAACGTAAGTGCGCGAATATATATTTCGCGCTCTGTGTAAGTACGTACACTGTGCGTTTCGCATAGTGTTCTTCGCGCTGACTTCGCTCGTGTGTCTTTCAAATTTTAACTCGATCCGACTACACATCACCTTACGCTTTGAATCGCGCATCCGGTGTTCGTGTCAAATTATACAGAGCGCGCTTATATATATATATATATATATGTATATATATAGATGCAGTTTAGCATTTCTCGCTGCGCTGTGTTTAATCCGGTAAGTCTCGGTTAATTATGCGTTAAAAGTTTTACGGAACGCAAGGCAAATTGCGGACTTGCGCCTGCAAGACAAAATCGGAACGTAACTTCTTCAACAATCTTCTTCGTATAATGTGCGATTTTTCTTGTATCATTTTTAGCGATGCGTATTTAAAACTTGTAGCAGATCTGTTCGTCGCACGGTTGCAATTTTTCTATCTCTCTTTTTTTTTTCTGTTTTTTCTTCCTTCTCGACTGCAAACGTATACACGTTTCCATTTCCAGTATACAAGCTGTAGCGTGGCTGAGAGCTAAAGAGAACAGAGAAATGGCTTATCGGCGCACCGTTAAGGGGTCCGAACACGGGACCGTTGTCTCTCGCAATTAGAAGTGCTTGAAGCGTGAAAAGCAACGTGCTGTGCACGCGGACGCGCCCCGACCGCCACCAGCGCGTTTATTCTCCGTTGTCACGTTGCGTCCCGGTTACCTTTTGTCATAAATAAATACACGCGCACGCAACTACGACGATATTGTCCGCCCTCCGTTTGTTCTCCCGATGTGTTATTTTTCTTTTTTTTTTTTTTTTTTTTCTCCGAGAGACAGTCGCGTTTTTCGCTTTCCTCTTTCTTCTTTTCCTCTCTTCGGACGTGTTTTGTGTTTTTTTTTTTTTGGCGGTGCGGCCGAAGCGCCTGTCGATCTAAATCGTTTTTTTCCGACAAGAACAATTTGCCGAACAAAAGTTCGATCCGGGTGACGCTGTAGGCTTTTATCGAGTAACGCCGCGAGTTGTACAGTGTACAGCAAAAGTCGAGTTTTGAAAGGAGGGGTTGACGTTTAGCGTAGTTTCCGATCGTGTCTCGGTCGAATTTGATGCGCGCGATTTTGACACGCGTGCGTTTGCAACACACAAGGCTTTACATGTGTATATATTTTTTTTGTTCCGCATAAAATGACACGCGCGATTGTTGTTGCGAGAAATCCTCGTGAGGAATCAGTTGGAAAAAAATCATAACTAGCTGCAGATGTTTCGGAAGAATTATGGTAAAAAGTAACGGATGATCTTTCAATGTACAATTAAAAAAAATCAACCGTGTTTGTTTTATCACGATTTTTCATTCAGGTTTTCGATATTTCTATTACACGGAACATTTTTGTAAAATATTTCAGCGCCAATAAATGTTGAATTTTTATTTTGTCCCGTGGCGCACTTTCGAAGTTAACTTTTTTCTTAAATTATTTTTTGCAATCTCTGCAAATATTAACAGAGACGTGTGTTTGCACACGTAAACTTATTAAATCTCTCTAAAAGTTACTAGAGAAGTAAATCCGACAAGGAACGTCCGATTGTACACAAGCGTGTTTCCTTCTCGTAAAACTTTCGTAAACTCGCACGGATTAATTAAGCCGAACGAACAATTAACATCTTAATTACTTTTGCAAGAGAAAAATTAATTTCTCTCTTGTCGAGAATTCTCTCGCTTCGCGATATTTAACCGCATGTTTTGCGACATTTTGTGTACACACACCGGGAACGTCCTTTTATCATTGAGCCGCCAATAAAAACGTAATAGCGCCTCTCCTTAGGACCGGCGGTATATATTACGCAGGCAGCGATCTAATGAATGAAGACACCCTAGCTAACGAATACGAGCGCTCGTTCGCGTATACGGTTTATGAAGTTTTCTTGCGCGTCGTCGCGCCGTGACCACCAGCTTATCGTTTCCGAACACGCGTCGTTACGTTCGAGTCACGGGGCCCCTTCGGGCGACGAGAGAGAGCTCGGAACCGGTTTTGATCGGCGTCGTTCGGGTAGCCGGTCGGCCATGTATGTTGTACAAGAGAAGGCCCCGTGCGCGCGATTCGCCACGACTTTCTAAACTTCCGTCAAGTCCAGCCGCGATCAGCTCCGCTGCACTTTTATTTATCCGATTCCGTGACACTCCGTTGATCGTCAAAAAACCCATTTGACGACGAAATCCAGACAGAATGACGAAATCGAGATTCGTCACCGCGGCGAAAACGCGTGTTAAGTAAGAGACATTTTTCGTGGGAAAGCGCGGGGGTTCTTGTAATTGCGTTAATGATTTTTTTTCACGGATGTTGCGTAGCGATGACACAGGACACAAATATTGTTATCACAATGTGCAATCTCTCTCAAATATTATTTTTTTAAACGGAAATTAAAAATCTTTAAAACTTGCAACGAATGCGATAGAACATGTCGGAAAACCGATATCTTGCATTTTTACTTGACGATTACCGTTTTTGCTCTAGATGCATATTTACCGTGTTTGCAATTTGACAAGAGATACTGTCGCGTATTCTGACGTATCGCCGTTATTAGTTTTCTATTAGTAGTCCGTCGCGAACGGTGTCTTCGCGTTTTCGCGGAAAAGGGAAATATCGCGATAACGATTTCTTGATATAGACGGAAATAGGGATGGAGAGATTTAGTTTCCAGCGCGCGCCAACTATGAAATCTCATTAGTTCGCGGCGATGCCGGTTGCAACAATGGCTAATTAGGCGATATATCTGTTTGCGAAGTTCGGCCCCTCATTTCTTCCCCTCCTCCGCAATCGTGACGAAGGGCGTATAAGAAGAGATCGATCGGCGGTATTATCCGCGAGTTTCCCCATTGTTACTTTCCAACGTCAAATTGTAATTCTTTCGGCGGGCGAAAGGGTTAGAGCGAGTTCTCTCCGATGTCTGTATGCTGAATGCGAACGCGAGTGTGGGTTCGAAGTTGGCGACCTTTCGGCCAACGCGTGGAATACGAAAGCCGGTCTCTAATGGCGCGGGTATCGTTCCGTGTATTCGCGCACCGTGACATTCCGCTCGTTTCTGTTCGTAATTACGGTCGCAATGCGCGCTGCGAGCATTTTCAAAAACATAAGCTCTGTGGTACGTAGCTTAGTCACGATTTGAATTGTGATGATAATTTTACCGACGTTTCTCTTAACGGAAGTTTTAGAGATCGTTACTAGAAATATGAGTTTATTAATTATTTATATAAAAGTTATTTGCTAGAAAATTTTGATATTATTAGCTGTTTTCTTTTTGGTGTCATCAGAACGATTTTCAATGTTCGACACCTCGAGTTCTTTTCTCGTGATCACGTCGACAGAGAAAACACTTTAAAAAAAAAAAATCTAATCAAATTTGTTTTAAAGATTTATTTTTGTCCGAAAACTCAGATTCGAGAAAAAAATAGTTAGAAAATGTTCGCTCGTATAGAGATCGTATGAACGTCGTAGAATAGGTGCCAAATATGCGGATTCAGATCGCATTTTGATCAACAACAGCAACAAATGAGATTCGAAAAGCCCAGCGCGGCGCTTTCGCTCGTAATTTCGTCAAGAACTTTATGAAAGAAATTTGTTATACGATGGACCGCGACGTGTGACTGTCATTAAACTCCTATTCATTTCCGTGAAAAGGGGGAGAAGAGATAAAAATGACACGTTTGTGCCCGCGGAAATGCGACGCTCTCCCTCTCTCTCTCTGTGCGAGAAGAACACTTCCGCAATTTCAAGGGAGAGAAAAACCAGACCCCGAAACGCTTTAACCGCGGAGTAGTCGCGCATGGAATTCAGGTTTCGAAATCTCCTTTCCTCTTTCGTTGCTGCACGTCTTTCTCGCGCGTTTTCGCAAGATAGCACAGCCTCCCCCTTTTCCTTCTACCCCTTCGTTTACGTACACGTCGCGCTCGATATATTATTTTCCGCCCGCGAAACGATTACCGTCTTTCTATCTTTACTTGACGACTTCCGACTGAAGTAAATTATTCAAAGCACGGCGTTGTCTGTCGTCGCTTCGCTTGACTTATTAATTCTTCATTAACGCGAATATGATACGCTTGCTACTCGGCAAATTGCGTTATAACTTTTTGAACGAGCTATCGCGTTACTTTAATTGCGTCACCGCGGTGTTCACTTGAAATTCCAATCGGCTAATACAAGAATTTTCGCCGCGGCTTCGTTAATATAGTTCCGCTTCTTGTTCACCGAGGTTTTAAATGCAGAGTTTTTTTTTTTTTTTTTCAGCCGCATTTATTTGCATTGCAAACAAATTTTCAGCGCAGTGTGAACGCAGATACGGAAATTGTTTCGTTATTCGAATTGCTTTGTGAGTGATATGTTTTGCAGCAATGTGAAGTCGATGTTTCTCTTAGTTGAGTTCTCGGTACACCAACATTTTGAATGAAATTCCCATCGCGACTGAAATTTGCGTCAAATAAATATACGGAGATAAAGGATTCAAGATTACGAGTTCAAGAACAATAGTTTCTCGCGAAACGTAGATATATAGGTATCGATTTTATGGTTAAATAATGAGATAAGAAACGTGACTGCGCGCGCGCTCACGCACAACACACGTATACAAAATCCAAAATGTCAAGAAAACGGGTCAGGATTGTCTTA